GACCCTGCCCCCCAAATCTTGCCTCCCTACCAGAGCCTGCCCCCCCAAATCTTTCCTCCCTGCCAGAGCCTGCTCTGTAGATTCTGCCCTGCAGAATCTGCCTCCCCACCAGAGCCTGGCCCTCAAACCTGCCAGTTTTCCCCCCAGAGCTTGCCTGGCCCCCTGCCAGAACTGGCCCCTAGAATCTGCCTCTTTGTCAGAGCCTGGCCCTAAATCCTGCCTCCCTGACAGAGCCTCCCCAAAGATTGCCTTCCCTCAGAATCTGCCTGCCCCCTACAAGAGCCTGGACCCCAGAATCTGCCTATCCCCAAATTCTGCCTGCCTGCCAGAATCTCTGCCCCAAAGGCTGTCTTCTCCACTAGAGACTGTCCTCCCAGAGCTGTGTTCCCTAGAACCTGTCCCCGCATTTGCCCTTGCCCATCCCTTGATGGCTGCTCCAGATCCGTGGGGCCCACCACAGAGAGGGGCTGCTCTGGCTGTCTGCTGCTTGGGGTGAGCCTGGGTATGCGCAGGCAGGGGCTGCTCCGGACACTTGGAACAGCCCTTGCCTGGGGTGGGCCCCAATGTGTCACAGACAGGGGCTGGCGCAGCCCCCTCCTTTTAATTGGTTAACCCGTTAAACATCATGTTTAACCAATTAACCAATTAAATGGGATTTTACATCCCTACCACAGACTAGAGATGTTAAAAAGTAGTTAATTAGATAAGTGTGTAACTGCTGGAAATGTCTTCTGAAAATACATGCTGCAGGCAGTGCACGCTGGGAGCCAGCTCCTGGCTGCTAGCCCCACTCCCAGGGAGCCAGCCGACTGCACTGCGGGTTCTGCTGTATAAGATTTATTCTTCAGAGCCCTCAGTGCACAGTAGCAGCCAGCTCCCCAGGAGCCAGTGTGTGCCGGAAACTAGCTTTTAAGCCAGCTCCTGCCATGAACTGGCTCCCACCTCCGACTTCGCTCCTGGGGAGCCGACTGCCACCCCAAGCTCCTGCCTCTGTATCAGAGGCAGCAGCTGGCTCCCGGGGAACCGGTGTACGATGGGAGTCGGCTTTTAAGCCCAGTGCATACATGCTTATCCGTTAACTGTTTAAACAGTTATACTGTTACATCTCTACATCAGACCCACCTCTTGCATCTGAGGCTCCACCCTTTCCAGGGCCCAGAGCTCCCCTACTTGCCAAGGAAACCGGACTTAGTGCAGGGCGTAGCAGTAAGTCCTGGCATTTACTTTCACCTCTGGTAGGTATAACTTCAGTACCAGGAAAATTGGTTAAGTTGGCACTTGATAATGGGGAATAAGAAATACATAAAGGCTATGTCTAGACTGCCCCCTCTTGCACAAAAAAATGCAAATGAGGCAAAGCGTGGAATATTGCCACACCTCATTTGCATAATTAATGAGGCGCCATTTTTGCGCAAGAGGCTTTTGTGCAAAAAGGAGCTGTCTACACAGCTCCTTTTTGCACAAACCCCTCCCTTGCACAAGAGCTGTTCTTCCTGAAACAAAGAGGAAGAACGGCTCTTGCACAAGAGGGGGTTTTTGCGCAAAAGCCTCTTGTGCAAAAACGGAGCCTCATTAACTATGCAAATGAGGCACAGCTATATTCCATGCTTCATCTCATTTGCATATTTTTTTGTGCACTAGGGGCAGTCTAGAAATAATAAAAGGGTAGTGGAAACAATAGTTAGTTATGGAGTAAATTAAGATGTACAGAGTAAGGCGAAGGCTGTGAGCTCCTGTGGCTAGGGCACTGGACTGGGAGTCAGGAGAGTGGGGTGCTGCTCCCCACTTGCTGGTGACCTGTTGTGTGACTTTGGATAAATAAATTTTTGCTTCTATCTTCCCTTCTATCCTTTTCCTTACAATCTAAGTAGACAAGATCACTGGGGCAGGGACTGTCCTGCTATGTATTGGCTGAGGGGGCTCATGGGCTGCCCACCACTGCCTTAGACTATCCAATATTAAAAAGTGCCATAACAGATCTACAATCAAACAATAGCTCGCTTTCTTAGAACTGAAGCTTATCCTATAATACAATCCTAATGTAAGAGGTTTTTAATGCACTTTGGGGAAAAAAAGTGTGTTTTTAAACAAATATCATAAACCTCAATTAACTATACATGATCACTTCCAGATGCATTTTATTGTTTATCGTTTAAAAACAGCTTATTTTGAAGAAACAGAACTAATACGATTTTTAATGGTGTATTTTGTACAAGACTTTTATGATTTTTGATCTATTTCCAAACTTGGGTATTTATTTTGTTGTGCTGTTTCTTTGTTGGGATTTTTTCTTTATGAGTTGCTGTTGAGATTCTTCCATTTCAGCTGAGCATTATCCTTTGAGTAACACTATTCATAGTTAATGAAATGTTAATCTGGGTAAGAAAGGATTTGGAAGGCTGCTATGTGTTGAAAGCCAAGATCAGACATGTTATAATAAAATACACAAGTAATAGAACCACATAATGTCAAAATGTAGTCTAATAAAACAGAAAAAGGGAAGCTCCGTGCCACACCCACATTTGTCATTGCGAAAAGCAAATGTAGCATCCAAAGTGAGTTATGCTGTGCTAACACTGAGCAAACGTCCATGAACATTTCAAACATGACTGAGCCACTGACCCTGAAAAAGGCCCTTCATCGATGTAGAAGAATTTGTTCTCTTTGGGAATCATAAACAATGATGGAAGGTCGTTCAGTAGAAGACGTGATTTAGTGATCTGAGAGCAGGCCAGAGAACCAGGGACCTCTTCATTCTAACCCTAGCTGTGTCATTGGCTTTTGTGGCTTGGTCAAGTCACTTAAATTCTTTCCCTTATTCTGCTTCGTCTCCCCCCCAGTTTCCTTCTCTGAAAGATAGGTATAAATTTGTTTATCTGCTTAACAGGAATTTCATGGGGATTAATTGACTTGCTCTTTAAAGACAAAAAGCAGTTTGTGAATGCTAAATGTAATTTATATTTTATTTTCTCATTATCACGAGTTAAAACATTTGACAATGTACATGTCCAATGACAGCTGGAGGCTCCTCCAGCCAAACTCAGTGTAAAAAGGAGTAGAAACTGGCTATAAATGTGAATGCTTCAGGAGACAGATCTTGTGTTTCTGGAAGACTTGCTATGCTGAAGTCCTTCTCCTGAAAAACCTAAAATAGCTAGAAAATATGGTGGCTCTATATCAGTGTTTCTTAAACTTTTTAAGGCTGAGGAACACCAAACAATAATTTTTTTTATGAGGGACACTGAGGATTTTTTGTTGGGGGGGAAGGGGGGAAGTTTGCCTGCCCCTTTAAGAGTGGCCATTTTGAATTCTGTAGTTCTCCGCGGCACACCTCTGACTACCTCACGGCACACTGGTGTGCCATGGAACACAGTTTAAGAAACACTGCTCTATATTGTCCTTGATCCTCACAGACACCTGGTACTGAAAGCAATAGGAATTGCCTTTGATCTCATGGGTGAAAAATGTCATTGGTGGCAGGATTTTATCCATGGTATTGTAAAGGGCCCAGTATTTCCTAACCAATTGTTAAGGTTCACCGCCTGCAACAGCAGCAAATAGCTCATAAGGATGAAGAATCTGTCATCATTTTTTCTCAAGTGTTTTAGTATCAGTGTATGTTCTGGCAAGGACTGTCCTCGTTTCTGCAAATATGATGGGAAATAAGACACACATAGCATCGCGCAGGTCTCTGTAAAACAGCGAGAGTGGGAAAACCTGACATTTGGTCAAGTCAAGGGTGTTTGGACACACAGTGCTTGGGTGTGGGTGCAGATTTTATCACTGGATCAGGGGAGAGTTAGAAGGCTTTTATCAGCTAAATTTCATGAACTAGAAGGGAGGGATAAACAAATCAAAGGATTTCCCCTGGTTCATTTTTAAGAATGATGGGGAAGTTCCAGCGCCCATCAGCTTGGCAGGTACTGGATGCTTGCTTGGAGAATATGTTGATGTACTGCAGTCCCCCAAAGTGAAGGACCCCTATCCAAAGCATGTGCCTAGAACTGGCCATGGATTCTAAATTGTGTCATATCTGTATTCTGAAAGTGCTAACCTGCAATGTTAACCCAGATCATCAGCTGGTATAAACTGATATAGATACATTGAAGTCAACAGAGCTATGCCAGTTTACACCAGGTCCTCACCTGGCCTGGTATGCACATTGCACATATATGCAATGAGCCCTTTCCCATGCTGCTAACAGTATGGCTACATCTACACTGGCATGATTTTCCGGAAATGCTTTTAACAGAAAAGTTTTCCGTTAAAAGCATTTTCGGAAAAGCGCGTCTAGATTGGCAGGACGCTTTTCCGCAAAAGCACTTTTTGCGGAAAAGCGTCTGTGGCCAATCTAGATGCGCTTTTCCACAAAAAAGCCCCGATTACCATTTTCGCGATCGGGGCTTTTTTGAGGAAAGCAAATCTCTGCTGTCTACACTGGCCCTTTTGCGCAAAAGTTTTTCGGAAAAAGACTTTTGCCCGAACGGGAGCAGCATAGTATTTCCACAAAAGCACTGACAATCTTACATGAGATTGTCAGTGCTTTTGCGGAAATTCAAGCGGCTAGTGTACACAGCTGGTAAGTTTTTCCGCAAAAGCAGATGATTTTGCGGAAAAACTTGCCAGTCTAGACACAGCCTATAAGTTTAGCTGATTAAAATAATTATGGTTATCAGTAGTATTTTGTTTTATTTTTAGTTTTCTTTTTGTAGGCAATTTTTGTCCCAATTATCACTATAGTCATAAAATAATTTTAGCTCCAGTTACTATATAATTTAAGTTAATGACATTTATTTTAACAATGGTGATTTTCATCATTAGAGCTAATGAAAGACGTGCTGTGTGTGAGCAATCACACAACTTAGTATTTATGACTCAGGATAGGCCTCCTACATTTAAAAAAAACCCGCAAGAGCTTAAGTGATAGGCATAATAAGAACCAACATCATAATCCTTAGCCTGTCAATAGTATTAGGCGTTCTTAATTAAAGCAGATGTGTTTCAATTGGAGACTAGTATCTTTCATATGTGCCCAGTGCATGCTACTTACAGAGACTGCTGATGCTGTGTTTCAGCTGTTTATGTGTTACATTTTTCTTCCCTTTTATTGCAGCTCTTTCTTTTATGCCTTCCTGAATCTGCTGATCAGCGTCTTTGTGGTTTTTGTCATCTTTATTGCTAGCACTATAGTGACTGTAGGATTTAACATGTGGTGTGATGCTGTTACTGAAAAAGGAAGCATGCCAAATAGGTTAGTATTGAAGAAAAAATTTCCTGATTCACATATGCACAAATAAATGGAGATATTACCAAATATAGCTATTAAATGCACAGAAAGCAGATAAGGAAAGGTATTTTATACCTAAAAGTCTTTTTATAAAGGTATGGTTATTAGTTTGTGATCAAAATAATGAATAAACCTTTTGCTGATTGTCCGCATGAGAGAAAAGGACGCTATAGTTATTACATTGATGTTTCACTGCCTATTAGAGACAGAGTTGTATGGAATAGCACAAGAAAGATTTAAAAAAAAAACCCACACACATGCAACTTTTATAGACTGTTGCGGGGATGTGATAACTTTCTAGTGAGGGAGGGAATGTGGTCTTTTGATCAGAGCAGGGGACTGGGAATCAGGGCTCCTGGATTCTGAATCCTACTTCTGCCACTGACTCAGTATATAACCCTAATCAAGTTGTTTAGCCTCTCTGTGCCTCAGTCTACCATCTACAAAATTAGTATAAAATTTTGGCCTTATAGTGGCATTTACACCCAGAGATTCTCAGGTAAAAAGCATTGTATAAGTGCAGTGTTCTGAGGTCCAATATTATCTTCAGAGTTATAGAATATATAGTTAACAAAATAATATTTGGCTTCAGTGTAGGAGGCAGATGAATTTTTCAAATCAAACTAATATCAGTAAAGAGATAAGAAAAAGTGACATTTTATGTCATATGATATTGAATAACGCTACTACTAGAGCATTCATTTATGTTTCATGTGGTCATATGTTGTAAAATGCCATAGTAAATGTTCTGTTTAGGGCTGCAACGATTAATCGAATTATTCGAATATTCGGTTAAAAATTCTATCTCAATTACCACAAAAAAGCGTAATCGAATATTCGGATAAGAATCCAAGATGGTCGACACCACTGAAAAGGACAGAGAAGAGCCTTCAGAAATCAGCCAAGATATAGAAAGACATCCTCAAAATCCTGGGATTTTTTTCACAGCACCAATAAAAGTCCGAGTTATTTATAAAATCGGTAGTCAGCCTCTCTTTTATCATCACTGTATCTTCTCCTTGCTGGAGCTTCTGAAACAAAAACACCCACACAATCCCTTCTCCTGAAGCCTTCCTTGATGATGTCAAAAGGTAATGGAGGCTCGTACACTTTGTTGTGTTTAAGTGTGAAACAAACAGCTGGGGCAAATACAAATGTCTGTGCTTGTGCAGGAGGTCGTGGGGTGGGCGGTGGAAATAGAGGGTTTTAAAGCATATTATTTGCATAATGAAGGTTATGCTACACATTTCAGAAAATCAATGTTGTTCATTTACATAATTAAATATAGATTTAAAGAAATGAAATCTCTTACCTTAATGTTAGAAGAAATTGGCAAGCAGCCCAGTTCTGGCAATAATTGAAAGCTTATTTGATAGAATATTCAGCTGCTTACTATTTGAAGCTTGCTGACTTTATTCTGATATTTCCATTTAGGATAATGGAAACTGATTAGGACTATTTAACAGTTTGTTCTGGGAGTGGACATAACAAAAGAAGCCTATACTTATTTCAAGGGTAGAGGAATAATCTTTTTAATGGCAACACAGTTATATGTATGTTGTTTATAGCTATGAGCTTGCGCTATTACCTAGAAAACCATTCTAGCCATGGCAGTTCTTAAGTGGCTTTTTCATCTATACGCTTGGGCTGGTTATTTGGAATCTCTAAAGTAATTTTCTTTTCTCTCTTTCCTCGCAATGCCTTCTCATGTAGCTGTGAAGAACTACAGGATATAGATCTTGAACTGAACTTAGAAACTTCTGCCTTCTATGATCAGTTTGCTATTGCACAGGTAGGTCAGAACAAGATACAAGAATGTTTCAGTTAATTTGCCATTTGGACATGGACATTGTTGCTCAGCCAGTATCTACTGGAATCATTGGGAATGTTTCCAATGACTTCAGTAGGTGCTGGGTTGTGCCCATAGTGATGGGCAGGTTTCTTGTGTAAAAATTAAAAATAGATGTTTTCAGCTGCTGCACGGACTGCTTTTATTGCTCATTCCTGAAATGTAACTGTGTTAGCAAGGGTCAATCTTGCGAAGTGCTGAGCAGTCAGATCTAAATCCAACAAAATATTTAGTCTGGGAGGTTTCCAAGGAGCCTATGGGAACTAGGAACCTAACTTCCCCTGACTTGTGTTGGCATTTGGCTTGTGTTGGCATCTTACCTTCCTTCCCCCCGCCCCTTAAACATTTCAGCCTTAAGCAATGCTTAATTTAAAGCATGTGAACAGTCCCATTGACCTGATTGAGATTTCTCTTGTGCTTAAAGTTAAGCATGTGCTCAAGTGTTTGTGCTGGATTGGACCAGGGTACTTAGCACCTTGCAGAGTCAAACCCTTAATAGCATAGGACAAGAACATATGAATGGCTATAGCAGGGGTTGGCAATCATTTTTGATGAGGGGCCACTCCAAGATTTTTGAAAGTGGTCAAGGGCCACACTCTTCCATGAACGGAGGTTGGGTGCAGAAGGGAGCTTGGGGTAAGGGACTGGGGTGCGGGACGGAGACTGGTGTCTGGGACGGAGTTGGGATGAAGCAGGCGGTTGTGACCTAGGGCAGAGGACTGGAGTGCAGGGGTTTGGGATGTGACCTATGGTAGGAAGGGATCGTGATCTGGGGCAGGAGATTGGGGTGCCAGATCTGGGAGGGAGTATGGGTGTAAGAGGGGACACAGGGTTTGGGTATGTTGAGTGGTGGTTGGGGCGGGGGGACAAAAGAGAGTTGGGACAGGAAAGGGCTGGGGTTCCAAAAGCAAGCTGTGGCCAAGAGATTTACTTACCAGCTGCCAAACTAGCCTGCCTGCCTGGCCATGTACTTCATGAATAATTGAGCCAAGGAGAGGGGGTTTGATTCTTCTTAGCTGTCTGTTATTCTAACAAGCAGCTCCCATTGTCTGGTTTCTGCCAGAAACCGGCCAAGGGAATGTGCTGGGGGTGGGGAGGTTCCTAAAACTCCCCCCCCCTCTCCAGTTTTAAAACAGAAATGGAGCCCTACAGCTGTGTTTCTGCACTGTGGCTCCCTGCTGCCTCCGCAAGCCGAATCCGGTGGCTTGGTGGGCTGGATGTTGCTCACGGGCCATATTTTGCCCAGGCCTGGCCTATATTGTGTTAAACCAATGGTCCGTCTAGTCCAGTGTCCTGTCTTTGAAAAGCAGTTCCAGACGCTTCAGAAGGAATTAACTGAATAGGGCAATTTCAAGTTATCCATCCTCAGTCATCCATTCCCAGCTTCTGGAACACCCAGAGCATGAAATTAAATCCTTGACCATCTTGATTAATGACTGCTAGTGGACCTATCTTCCATGAACGTACTTAATTCTTTTTAGAAATTCTTTTTAGTTATACTTTGGGCCTTCCTAACAACTTCCACAGGTTGACTGCATTGTGTGAAGACGTACTTCCTTTTGTTAGTGTATGCAAATGGTTTGCATGCTCCTGGATCAGAGGCGCAGACTGCTGAGTGGAATGGACCCTGTCCAGGAGCATGTGAGCTGCTTGCACACAGTACTGCATGATTAGGGACAACTGCAGATGAGCCTGGTACCTGCCCCAGTGGGCAGGACTGGGGGCAGTACAGCAATGCAGGAGAAGCTGCCCAGCTGGTCATTGGCTCCTGAGAGCAGCAGCCCAACATCTGGCTGCTTTTGTTCCTACGGTTCCTGGTGTCCCTCTTTTCCAACATAATTGTACCCAAACTTTCAGAGGACTGGGCCTTTGAGACTGAGATTGGCCTCTTTGTCCTGCGCATATCCTAATCAGTAGTCCAAGAAAGCTCTTTAGCCATTAAATACCTCTCTAGGGCTATGTCTAGACTGCAGGCTTCTTTCGAAAGAGGCTCTTTCGAAAGCATCTTTCGAAAGAGCCTCTTTCGAAAGATCGCGTCTAGACTGCAGGCGGATCTTTCGAAAGAGCAATCCGCTTTTTCGAAAGAGAGCACCCAGCGAGTCTGGATGCTCTCTTTCGAAGACGCCCTATTTACATTGAAGAACGCCTTCTTTCGAAAGAGGAACTTTCGAAAGAAGGCGTTCTTCCTCGTAAATTGAGGTTTACCGCCATCGAAAGAAAAGCCGCGTTCTTTCGAATTAATTTCGAAAGAACGCGGCTTGAGTCTGGACGCAGGGGAAGTTTTTTCGGGAAAAGGCTACTTTTCCCAAAAAAACCCCTGAGTCTGGACACAGCCTAGGAATGTGACCAAATTATCATAAAAGGAAGGATCATTTTGGCCAGCCCACTCTTATAGTCATCTCATGAATCTGCAAAACCAAGAGTACTCTTCTGTACTGTGGGTTTTGTGACACAGCCACGTCTATATTAGATGGATCAGGTTGAACATTTTGATCTTACTGCTTTGCTATATTGATACCTCCACTTATGGAATCTGTGGGCGCTTAATAGTTGTAGTCACTCAGAATCATGCGAGTATTTCACTTTTCAACTGGGAAGATTCTTCAGCAGCTTCCTCTGCTGTGTCATAGTAGGCCTTATGGGCTTCCCCACACAAGAAAGGAACAAGGATACTGGCTCACTGATCCCTGGAGTAGGCCTCACTTTGGGTTCTTTCAAACATGCTTCATCATCACCTGTGTCATCATCTTCTGCAGACAACTGCTGGCCTTTAGGGATTGTGTTCCATCCTAGCCACCTCCCAGAGGCTATGTCTACACTGGCAGGTTCTTGCGCATGAACATCTTGCGCAAGAACTCTTGCACAAGAGTATGTCCACACTGCCATGTGCTTTTGCGCAAGAGTGTCCATGGCAGTGTGGATGCTCTCTTGTGCAAGAAACCCCTGCCGTGCGTCCACTTGTTAGAAAAGAGCGTAGTTCTTGCTCAAGAAGCACTGTCTTCTGACGCTGTACTGTAAAGCAAGAGTGGGCCGGCCATGTGGACACTCTGTGGGTTCTTGCGCAAGAAAGGCTGTTCTTGCGCAAGAACCCACCAGTGTCAACATAGCCAGAGTGTCCAAGGCTTTCAGTTGTCTTACTACCTCTTGTAGGGTTGCTTAGTCCTGTGCCTCCTGGATCATCAGTATTTGATTTGTTTCTTGTTGTATTCGTATAGATTTCTGCTGAGTGGCCATTTGGACTCTGGTAGCCATTGGTTTTACCACAGTGGCTAATACCACTGCCATCTGATGAGGGCACCCATTCTTAGGAATTATTGTCTCAGCCTCTGGGTAGTCTTCTATGTCAAATCTCACTCTGACACCATGTGTGGCCAGGCACCTTCCTTGCTTTGTCAGCTTCAGAATTTCTCCATCTGGTGATGAGGGCCTGGAGTAAATCAGTCCTGGTCCAGAGGTTATTAATTCTTCGTTTTGGTTTATTTTTCCAGTATTTACAAGGTGGTCATTAGGGAAGGGCTCTTAAGCAAAAAACAATCACAAAAGAAATACATTTCCTTACCCCTTTCCTAGGGCTGTTCCCTTTTTACATTGTGGTTTACTTGTGGTTGCCACACCTTCCCCAAACAGAAGTTAATTTGGTTGTTTTCCCTATAGGAAGGAGAGCAGCCTATGACTTAGGAGAAGCCTTTTCTCCATTCTGCTCCTAACCTTGCTATAGCTTGGTTTTCATCCCTTCTGCCTCTTTCTCACTAGAAGAGGGGTTTTTAGAGGTCCCCGCCAGGCTCAGGGGTGTCTCATTAACCTGAGATAACCTCTTTTCAATTCACAGAGAGGATCATTCACCATTCCGGGGCTGACATGCCTGCCTTCCACCACTCTCTTATAGCTACCAGGTCTGACTTTGTCACAGGCTATAACCTATTTAAGAAAAGTGGTTAAGAAACTTGAAAGACATTCTGCCCGGCTATTGGCCTGATTCACCATTGCATTACTCAAGCATAGGCAATGCTAGACTGAACCCAACTCAAGGTCCATCTTATTCAGGATCCAGCCTCTGACAGTGACCGATATCAGATGCTTTAGAGAAAGATGTAAGAACTCCACAGTAGCTGATATACGGTAAAGTGACCTCCCACAAAATCTCCTCCTGGTGTGTAAATAGTTAGATTGATTGAAGCCCTGAAACACAAGGTTTAATATCCCTTTCAAAATGCCCATTGACATGAACTATGGTAACTCTGGATACAGTATTCTTGGCTTCCATATAAATGCCCATTCCCTTTCTGAATCTTGTCAAGGTTTTGGCCTCAATGACTTTCTGTGACAGTGGTTCCAGTTTAACCTAGACTTGTTGAATCACAGGTTAAGAAGAACAATTTTTTTCTCCCTCCTTGTAACAAGCACTTGAAAATGGTTATCATGTCCACTTGTGTTATCTTCTCCAAACTAAACAAACCCAATTCTTTCAATCTTCCTTCACAGATTGTTTTTTTAGACCTTCAATGATTTTTGTTGCTTTTCTCTGGACTTTCTCCAATTTGTCCACATCTTTCCTGAAATTTGGTGCTTAGAACTGTAGACTACTCTGCAGTTGAGGCTTAATCAGCATGGAGTAGATTAGAATCACTTGTGTCTTTTTTACAACAATTCCTGCTAATACATCCCAGAGTGTTTGCTTTTTTGTTTTGCAACAGTGTTACACTGTTGACTCATATTTAGCTAGTTTTTCACAATGGCCCCCAGATCTCTTTCCGCTGTATTCCTTTCTAGGTAATCATTTCCCATTTTGCGTGTGTTCATCTGCTTAAGTGTTCCCCTTAAGTGACATACATTGGATTTGTCCTTATTAAATTTCATCCCATTTGTCCACATCATGTGTTTTGTGAGAAACTGTTTTCTGTTATTAGTTTTGAATTTTCCACCTTTTAATTTCACTGACTATCCTCTTGTTATTGTGCCATGAGACAGAGAAACAGAAGTTCCAGATCTGCCTTCTATAGACAATTTATTAATTTACATATCCTCTCTGGGTCTTTTGTAAGAGAACAATCCCAATCTTTTCAGTCTCATTTAATGACTAGTTTCATGCCCTTGATCATTCTCCTTTCAATTTTTATGCAGAATAATCGTGTTGAAATCAATCAAGTTATGTGGGCCTAAAAGAGAAGTAAAGCAATGGGGAATCAAACCCTACATGTTTATAATTTTCATTTAATTGTAGTAGCCTCTTAAAAGCTCATAAAAGAGTTTCTCTCTTTGCCAACTTTATCATTCATTTTTGGCCAGTATTTTATTTTGCCGTGGTTCCAGTGCAGGAAAAACAAGTGCAAGCTAGCTGCTATTATGTCACATTTATTTATTTGTTCTGTGTTCACTGCCATAGTATATGACTGGCCACTCAGGCAAAATGTCATAAATCCTGCTTCCAGGAAAGTCAGTGGGATGAGCACAGTTACGAGAACAGTGTGTGTGTGTGTTAATTTCTCAGTCAGGGATTAAAAACCACCCAAGTTGTTTATTGCTCTCAAATGGTTACTATGTTAACATAGTACAAATTCTGATCCTATAAATACAGATTGTGCTTCATCACTGTTTCCCCTATGTAGGTGTAATTTCATCGTGTTTCCTTTGCTATATATTAGTGTCTTTACCACAGTCATTTCCAGCTTTTATGGTGTGTAGTGTTCCCCTCACTGGCAGTGGGAGGGTTGTGTAAAAATACATGGTAGGATATCACTGAGTAAGCTAGAATTATATACCCACCTGCAGACACTGGGGGCATTATGGACAGATTATGTGCATTTGGCTATAATAGAGAACGATGCAACAAAAAATTCTGCTTCATACAGTGTTTGCCAACGTATACAGAGTTTCTGTGGGAGGAAAGTTTACTTTGGGGCTTGTTCTCCTATGCATATTACAAACAGTCTGGTCCCAATACCACTACTGACCTATCATGTTCAGCCTGTGCTGCTTAATTACTGCTCATACATTAGTGAAGAGTGAAGGTGCATTTGCCAGATTCTTTTATGCCAATGAAAGGAAAGACAGTTCCAGCCCACAGGACACAGACCTGCTAGAGTGTAAGGGAACCCTGAAGCAGAATATGTGAAAAAAGATCCAAGTGGGGAACAAAATCCTGCAGTGCTGTCTGTTAGTATCATAAGATGCATTAAACAGAGCTGGCAGGTGGGATTTTCTTTGTCCGCAGTGATAATGGTTTTAATTGTCCGGGAAAACATGGCCTGGTATAATACACTGGTGGCCCAACACAGCTGTCGTACCCAAGCACCACTTTCAGTGAATACATTGGGAATGATTCCTGAATAAGAATTACAGAGCTGGGCCCCGGGTAAACTTTGCATGAAGAAACTAACCAGTTGGATAACAATACCATTCATCTGGTTGCGCAGAACTTTCCTTTGATAATCTCTCATTAACGGAAATATGCTAGATTTATCTGGAGTCTTTCATGTTGAGTAACTCCCAAAAGACATAGAAAAGCCATTTCATGCAAATTTCAGCCTATACCAAGGCCATTTAAGAGAGAGCTGCAATTTTGATCTTGCATTAATGAAACGTATGCAGATGTGAGACATTACTAATTAGACCAAATGAGTGTGATTTTAATATTTTCTTAATCCATATTCTTTTTATATAACTTACTGCTATTTTTAAAGACATTTTATATTGGTGGACTGAGATGCAAATAAGGATAAGAACATGCGAAAGATTTTCAAAATGGATTTAAGAGTGTAATGTCTTTAATAAAATGAGATTATTATTATTATTATTTTTATTTGGATTATTAGGGATTAATACAGCATAATACAGAAATAAAAGATTAATACATTGCTAATGAATCTGGAAGATAGAAGTGCAGTTGGTGAGACTCTTAAAGATCTTGTGCTTACCATGCTTGTATTTATACCTGACTCAGAGAAGTTTCACAATTTTCCCTGTATTAATTTATCCCTGTATTTAATTCATTTCTTATTTGTCTTTTCTGACACATTTTTGAAGACACCAACATGCCAATAATTGATTATATCTAGACATATTTGTAAGTTTTAATGTGAAATACACCTTAAATTCTGAAAAGTTTTACACGGCCCCTCTACAAAAACAGGACAGACATTTGCAACAGTTTCTTTGTTTTAACCATAGCATTCCAAAAGTCAGCAAGTAAAGTATCAAGAAAGTTGTTTGCCTTGCCCTGTCTCTCTAAAATGTCTCTGTATCTAACACTTCATATTTCATTTTGATTTAACATAAGTAAAGAACATTTTGAAAGAAGCTTAACTTTAATGCAATTCATACAAAAACATGTGTTTATTTTTATATATAAATGTGGTATATACTACTAATGTTGTGTATATGATACAGGGTGCACCTCTAAAATCCGGGATTTTCTAGTCCGGCAACATCCGTGGTCTGGCATAACCATGGGTGTTGCAGGATCAGAGAGTCCCAGTGCACTGCAGGTAGGTGGGGACCCAGGAGCCTGTACGCATCTCAGTTGGGCTGTGAGGAGGGAGCCCAGAGCCAGCGCGTGGCCACGGCTCAGTTGAGCTTCGAGGGAGGCTGGAGCTGGCACAGCTCAGTTGGACTTTGAGGGGGGTCAGAGCCATGCATCTCAGTTGGGCTTCAAGGGGGCCCAGGCCATGTGGCTCATCTGGTCTGTGAGGAAGCCGGCACGTGGCTCAGCTGGGCTGGGGAGGGGCCATAAGCTAGCAGATGGCTCAGCTGAGCTGCAGGGAGAGCCAGGAAGCCGGCAGGGGCGGGGGCTGAAATGACCTCCCCTGATCTGGAAAAATCCCTTATCTGGGACCAGTCAGGTCCCAAGGTTGCCAGACCAGGGACAACCTGTATAACACTGTAGTCTCTACAGACTTTCTCTTAGCTCCATACAGACTTTATTAGACACAGAGGGATACTAGCCGCCAAACACAGCAAAAATGCCTGAAGGCTTAGTGGACTAAGAGTATTTCACAAGCTATGGTAGTAATCCTATTACATATGCTCATCGTTGTTACCGTGAATATTTTTTCACTTTTAATTTTATAGTAAATGAAAATGGGATCACTAAGCTGAAAAGACCGAGAAACAATGGGTTAGATCATATGGTGTGAACTGGCAAAGTTCCATTGAAGTCCATCCAGATGAGGCTCTGGCCTTATAAGGGTTGGTTTTATCTCAACACAGCATTAACCTCTCTACCATCTCTTTTCCTGCCTAGTTTGGTCTCTGGGCTGCCTGGCTGACTTGGCTGGGAATTACCATTTTGGCCTTCTTGAAGGTTTATCACAACTACAGGCAGGAAGACCTGCTAGACAGCCTGATCCACGAGAAGGAGCTGCTGCTAGGACGCTCCTCTTCACGAACCTTTTTGCAGGATGAGAAAAGTGGCATGATCTAATGTGTAAGCCACTCAACAGCACAGGTTGTTAATTTTGTAGTTCATTGCCACTAGCTGAAATCAAGAGAATTGGTGAGTGTGTGAAATCATTGCTTTCCCGAACAGAAATTTAATTTAGAATTACACAATCCTTCAATGAAAAATTGTCAGAAGACATATTTCTGTTAGGATATTTACTTTCCTGTACATATTGGGAGCAGAACTAAGGCTGTGAATAAAGATGGCTGTTACTATTGGGATTCTATCATGCATAAGAACGGTGCTAGCAAAACCTTGCTTAAGACCACAAGTTTAATATGGGTGATTTTAACACCGTTCTAGCTAGCACTGCTTTAGTCCACATAGTGATAGGACCTTTTCTACCCCAACGTTTTCTGTATATGTACAAAATATAGAGAACAGTGTTATAACCCCAGCTCCTCTTTGATTTGATCACTTTAGAACATGTAGAGCAATGTACCTGACTATATACTTAACATTAGAGTGACATTCATACAATGATAAGTTATTACAGTATCTTATAAAATATGCTGTATATTTTTGGAGGGATCATAGAGCCTATTTTTGTTTTTGTTTTATCTTAGACTTCAGCATGGCCAGCATTTATTACCGTGTAGTAAAATGTTATTTAACTAGCAGTAACTGTAGCTTGCATAGTAAGAGATTAATCTTAATATATTATATTAATGCTTGCTCATTCATATATGCAATTTGATCTCTAGGACTATATACTATTCAACTTCAAGCATTAGAGTTTACTTGTGCTATTTATCTCAAACAGGATATGTGAAATTATTATGAATAGCTGCTTATTAGCTGTATGAATGTCTCTATTAGTATAGTAAATGCAAAAACAGCTCAGTAATCATATAGTTGATTCTTTTATGAACTGGGTTATTCTCTCCTCCCCTTCCATTGGCCAGAAGCCTTTAATAATTGCTCTAGGGGTCAGTATTGCTACCCTGTAAAGGGAGCAGAGCTGTTAACTTTATGAAGTCCATGAGGGATTTGCGATTGCTCTTGATTTTACCTGGAAAGTGCTCAGATGCTAGGATAATTACCAGGGTGAGCTTGTAAAAACCCTAAAATAGATAAAACAATTAGGAATATAGATAACTCAGATGGCAGTGGAATTATTAATGCTTGAGAATGAATGCCTTGTTAGTATAGAGAGAAACAAGGTAGATGAGGTCATATCTTTTATTGGGCCAACTTCTGTTGGAGAAGAGACAATCTTTTGCGATTACAAAGAACTCTTCCTCAGGTCTGAAGAAAGCTGAAGATGTGCTCTGTGTAAGCTTGAAAGAACCAACAGAAACTGATTCGATAAAAGAGTTAGCTCTCAAATATCCTGAGACCAATATGGCTACAACAACACTTCAAACCATAATTGTTAGTGTACATTTCTAGTCATCAGGTACAATAGGAATCTGAGGCCCCAGTGTAGCAAAGTGCTTAATTTTAAGTATGTGACTAATCCCACTGATTTCTGTAAACTGCTGAATCACAGTCACAAAAATCACCCAGACTTACAACAGTTCTCTTGCAAAGATTTTGTTGTATTTGAGAATCTAAGAGTCTGTGTATAGACTAATGATCAAATTGTTCCCATATGAGAGAAAAACCTATGTAGGGGATGTGAGGCTCCATGAAGTGTTCAGTCAAAGAACCCACATCTTTCAGAGCTCCAATAATTACCAAAGATCAGATCTGTTTTCACAAGGTTTCCAGAAGCAAGATCCATCTGCTCAGAGGCCCTGTTACCATGTTCTGGGTTCCTAGCCACAAAGGAACACAGTTCCTGCAAGAGCTGCACTGCCGTAGCATTCTCCAGTTGTGAACGCATATTCCCACAGGTGCTGACTGCCTTGCACCAATCCACTGTTTCCCAAAAAGAAGGGAACACTTGGCCCACAATTTTTAGTCTGGTTTTGTAGAGCATTTTTATTCTAGGAATTAATGCTCTATCGCTGTCCCATTTATTCTTCAGCTCAGTAGACTAAATCTGGGATTTTCAAAAGAGACTAAGGGAGTTGCAAACCCAGTAGGATTCGGGCATCTAACTCCCTAAATTCCTTTTGACAACCCCAGCCCAAATTAATATTATACAAACAGATGAGCAAATGTCTCTATTCAACTGAAGCTTCCTGCTTTCAAAACTTATTTTTGATACTTAATTTCTCCAGGATCTTAATTTATCCTCAGTTGCCTGTTGACAACAGTTCACTGAGTACAATAAAAGAGAAATTTTGGGTCAGAAACATTTAAGCTAGCTTGTTAAATGTGAAAAAATGCAGAAGACCACTCTAAAGCCAGCGGGCAGAGTTAATTCACATCTAAATTACTCTGGTTTCCACTCTGGACCAGGTGGAATAAATTGATGTAGCTAGTTAAGATGGTTCATTAAGGAGGGGTTTAAAAGCAAGGCACTTTTCAAGGAAAGCTCCCTAGTAGTTGGAAGGACGAGGACAGAGATAAGCAGCTATGAAGCTAGTTTATAGAAGGCAAACTTCTGAGCTAGATTGTCAGAAGTAGTTTAGTTTTAATCTAGCTGAGCCTGCCTTTTTGCTTGAGAACAATTTTGCTCTAGTTTTCAGCCTGAGAGAGTTCTCTGTCAGCTCATATTCTAAAGATGAAATACCCAAGCCAAACTAGTTGTGCCAAAGTGAGAGTTAGGGCAGAAAATGTAGCCTTGGAAGAGAATGCAAACTTACTCTTTTACATTTTGCAGTATCCAATTTAAACTCTTTCCAGCTGTAAATTATCAGGGCACTGTTGAGTTAGGCTTTGATAGAAATGCTCCATTATTTATGCATCACCATTCTTTGTCCTTTCAAATTCTTCTTTAATTTATATTATCCAAAACCATGCCTGAGAACCCTAGGGCTGCGTCCAGACTGGCAAGTTTTTCCATTAAAAGCATTTGCGGAAAATCATGCCAGTCTAGACATAGCCTAGTTGTTTAAGGAGGTTGTACAGTGAATGTAAACGAACTCAGTACTTTTTGGAGGGATTGTAAGGAGGAAGTGCTTCAGTTTATTTTATGTATTTATGTGTTTAATTTTGTTATTCCCTCCCCCTAGATGGCTACTGCGACTGCCCATAACAAATATGTAGATACCTGTCAGGGGCTTAAAAGACCTTAAAAATACCTTGCCTTTATAAGTTTTTGCTTAAAAGCTCCCCAAGGCCATAGATGCCCTGGCCTCGGGAGGTAGCTGCCATCACCAAGTGAAACAAAAGAGACCCCTTTCTTCTTGAACCCAGGAAGGAAGCACTTGGACTTCTTCCAGAGGGGTATCCCCAAGCTCTTTTACCACAAGAGAACTTGGAAAAAAGAGAAAACAAACTGTAGTCTCTGGTAGCTGACGTCTCAGCCATAGGCACTCATACACAGACACAGACCTGTTCCTTCCAGGACACACAAATCAAATCATTGCCTTAAAAAAGGTGAGTTTATTAACAAAACCAAAAAGATATACTTGCTAAAGCATACTTGGCTGCTAGATGTTACAGAGCAACTAAGAAAAGAGCAGATTATAACACAGAGAAAAAATTAAATCTCTGGGCACAGCTTAAATAGTAAATGGTGGGTGGAGGCAGAGCATGTGGATTTTACATAGAGAAGTTTTACCAAACATAAAATAGAGAAAAATAACCTGATCATGACTAAATATACATTTTCCCTCTACTCATGGATCAGCATACTTCAAGGTCCAGTTCACTCCCATGTCCAATATTTTTATAGGCATGGTAATTTTGATTACTGCATCTGCTCCCTCAAGCCCTTAGTTTGGAATTTTTACACAAAGAGAGCAGGCAAAGTATCTATATGCAATTCACATTTCAGCACTGTATCCCATTGGTTCTTCTGGCCCCCTACCAATGCCCTTACTAGCTACCTAAGTTTAACCCTGACCAGCACTCCTATTCATCACAATACCCTATTTCAGAATGTAGTTTGCATTTATTTTTCAAATAGATATTCTGATGCTTAAATCAGATTCAAAAGACCAGACCACCTTTTCGGCCTACAGAAAATGGCTGATAGTAACACAGGTAGAGTTTACAGGGAGCCTTATTTATTAAAATGTAAATAGACACTGTTCAGTTGTATTTCTACAATACCAAGAAGATATTGACACACAAGTAACCTGCCATACCAGATCCATTCCAGATGCTCTGGCTTCTACCGGTATCCTTTTTCTGTTAGCTCCTTGGTCCAAATGGTTTTGCAATGTCCATTGCTGTCAGAGGACATTGTGCTAGGTAATTTAACTGATGTCATTGATAAACTGTAAACACGTGGTTTTGTTTTTTTTTTAAACCAAAACTTTTTTTTTTCAAAGAGAACTCAAGTAACACAATAGTTTGGAGCAAAGTGTTTTTTAAAAGGTCATAAAAGCTTATAAAGTCCTGTTCCTTAAGTATTCAAAGCATTATATAGTGTCTCATCCCTGAATAGTCTCCCTTGGGCATCTCATAGTTTAAAATTTTGCAGCTTTGCTTTGGGAATTTAGGGGTGTGTATTGGTTTATGATGCTGCTGAGAGAAATAGATACTACAACAAATGAAAGCTCAGATGAGCATGCATTTACTGATGAAGATGCTCAGTATCAGAGAGGTGGGGTTGGTAAGTGTATGTGGGAGAGAACCCGTGTGTTTATCTATAAAGCCACGCTAAAGGGGTTGTTAGGATAATCCCCATAGTTAAACCATGATATTGATGTAAAATATCCTGTAGGCAGAGTGCGTGTCAGAATAGTTTAAATTTCTACACCACCTTTTTTCTTATTTATCTGCACGATGCCACTTAAGATATAGATACCTCTATGCTTTGTCAAACAACATCACTGTTAGGCACTAGTAGTCACACTATCCCTCATGGTTTATCCTCATTTACAGAGCATTAGGGATTACTGTTTACACTTTGTGTAATCTTCAGCAAGATAGCATAGTTAGAGGAGAAGGTAGGAGAAGTGTTGCATTCTGTAGATTGAAATACATTGAAATCTTGCATGACTGGAGGATGACATTCCCTTAGAACAAAGTTCCTAATGTAACAAATGTGCCTTGACTCATTGCAAAGTAACCCTTTGTTGGAAATATTGTTAATTGGGACATACTTAGTAATTCTTCTTCAAAATAGCTACAAATATCTTATAGTATATTTTCTTAAAAACTTTAACCCTTCATTTCAGAACTGATTCTTCTTCTGCAATAGCCTAGCATACGACGTAAGGCCCAAAGCAGTTAGCTCATTTTTTAACCAATGATCTATCACTGAAGAAGAAAAATGTATGTAAACTATGATTACACAATGGGACTATAGAGAGGAGAACTTATTTTTAACCCCAGGGATTATTGAATTTAGATGAGAGAATCAGAAGCCAGATCTACAGCTGGTGTAAATTAGATTGCTCCATTGAAATCAACAGAGCTATACTGATTTACACCTGCTGAGAATCTGACAACTTGTATTTAAAAGCATTTGATTACTTATTTCCCCCTTCAGAGCTAAATATGCAAATATGAGGTTAAATTGACAGGAGGCTTTGGTACATGTTGAACCTCTCCAGTTTAGTACCTTTGGGACCTGATCAGTGCCGAACCAGAGAATTTGCTGAACCTTGGGAGGTCAATATTGTCTAGCAGCATTACCAATACTTCCACTACTTACTGGTCTCCTAGAAGACATTTAGGGGTAAATTACAGCTACATAAAAGCACAGAACATTGAGAGTCAGGACTGGTGGCTGTAAACAAACTTTATGGGGCTGTGGGACATTTGGCCACACCCATGATAAGTCGACATCCAGCTAACTAAAATTATCCTGGACCACAGATGTTGCTGGACTAGAGAGGTTCAACCTGTACTAAGTCACTGAAATGGATGACAAAGCTGGTCAGTCTCTAGTGTCCAGTTATATGGTATCTGGGCCATCAGAACCTTTCTGAATATTTGTTTTTCTTATAGAACGAGGTGTACCGGTAGTTCAGAATAGGAAGTCTAATCCGAACTACCTACTCCGTGCTGCGTGTAGCCGCGGGCACGGAGTCTGAACTAGCGGGGCTTTAAAAATGGCGGCGCCCGGCAAGATGCAAATGAAGCCTGGGAAATTCAAATCCCGGGCTTCATTTGCAACTTCGGTTGCCTACATTAACCACCCTAGATCGAACTAGGGTGGTAGTGTAGACATACCCTCAGTTACTCAGCCTCTGTTGAATTTATAGTCATAGAACTTCTTGCTTCTTTATACAGATTTACTATGCCTGTTTCCTGGTGCTGCTGCAGTTAGCCTCTGCTGATTTTTGAGATGCTAGAAATCAATGACACACTGACATTGTGTGAAAAATTGATTTTTTTGCATTGTCTTTAAATACATCAATCCACGCAACTGTTTTGTTAAGTATAATTTAAAATGAGAACCCGCCAAACCAGAATGATCTGCAGACTATTTAATACAAATTACAAGCATTTTGGTGGCTGTGGTGTTACGCTGTAAACAAACACATTGTTCATAATTCCTCTCCTCCGATGTTTGCATCCCAATCATTCTATGTAAATCACTCACAGTTGCTTGAATGGATCCTCTATTATGTATAACGAGCCAATTTGACTGACCATACAAAAAGGTCAGAATTACATTCTCTGATGAAGATTCAGCTTGGAGTTTGATTCAACTTTTGTTTCTACTTCCTAATAAGAATGAACACCCTTAAACCTTGAGGAAAGATAATATTGAGATGCAGATATGAAATCTGCATGTAAGACTGGCCAATCCCTGATGGAAATGTTCTTTTTAGTCTAATTAGGATGTTTGTTCTGCAGGCAAAGACCCTGGAGACTGCAGTGCCCTTTTTAAAGTTTGTCCTAGGACGAATACTAGTTAATGTACGTCTAGTTTCTATTTTGCACACAATGAGAAAAGGCTTATGTAACTAACAGTTTGGGAAATCTTGTTTTAAAGTGAGTCTATCCCTGATTTCCCCAAGGCCAAAATACACTGCTTTCCCATTCTTCTCCGCCTTTAGAAAGAGTAAACTTTTCCTGCATTATATTTCAACCTTCATGGACAGCCACACATATAGCTACACAGCAATATGTGTGACCATACCATGATAAATTATTTTTAATCCTTATGCTTTATGGAGAAGGATAGCTCTCTCATTTACTCCAGGCACAAAATGATCAGGCAACCATTTCAGTCTCTCAAAAACTCTAATCGTGGTGTCCAAAAAGAGTAAACTTCAATGTATAGCCACCTAACTTATTGCACAACATATGAAATGCAATGTATCCACGAAGCTGGTTGATTAATAATGCCTCTTTGTTCTAATATTGGGCAATGTATTTGTACAATAGTGCTTTCTTGTGGGATTCTGTTAAATGAAGCTCTTGAGTGTCTTATGTCTGAACAAAAGATTGTTTGAAGTGATACTACAAAAATATTGCATTAATGTGAATGTAAATACCCCACTTTTAAACATGTCTACCTCTAATAGCTACAGTAACTGTTCAAAGCATTGTGCCTCCAATTTTCAAAAATATCTAGCTGACTTCGGCATCTAAGCCCCATTTTCAAAGGGAACTTAAGCACTTAAATCTCATTGACTTCCAATGTACCTTTGGCTCCTAAGCTAAAGTCAGTTTTGAAAAATGAGGTGTAGACTCCTGATTCACTTAGCCTCTTTTAAAACTCCCTGCAGGTCTTGTTTCACACAAGCCCCAAACCTTACTCCCATTGACTCTAATTGTAAAAAGCACGTTCATAGAGACAAGTTCTCTGCTGGCATACTTCCAAGCAAGGGAGTGGAATATTTGACTCACGTATTTTGGTTATGTCTACACTATCAGCTAGTGGTAAGATTCCTCTGCTTGTGTACATGTGACCCAAACACCTAGTGGGTGTGGTTCACTGTTCCATGTAGTGGCACTGAGACCACTTACAGAGAGAGAGAGAGAGAATGAGAGTGCTCTACTGCCTTAGCTGAGAGCAGGCTGACTTTTAGCTCAAGCTGTAGAGGCCCATGCACAAAGGTCCAGAGCATTACATACACATCAGCAATCTAGCATGAGCATACAATAGCAGTGTAGGCTGCAGTAGCACGGGTAGCAGGAGTGGAGGCACAGCTAAGATGGGCTGAGTACCCAGCCACCTGAAACCAGTGTCATGTACTGGCACGGATAAGCCATGTGGCATACGCTGTCACTGTTGCTACTTGCGCTATCATGGTTACACTGTTATTAATATGCTCACTAGCTCAATGAGCAGTGGAACCACACCCCTGGTATAGACACAGAAAGTACCCTTACGAATCATCTAGTGTGACCGCCTTTATCACAAAGTCCATAGAATTTCACCCTGTAATTCCTGCAGGGGATTGAATTATTCTTCCTTACGATGTGCATGAACCTTATCAAGTCCAATAATTTGTGCATGAAATAGAGCATGTCTTTTAGAATGATATCTGGTCTTGATCTAAAGTGATGATGAATTAGCCACTTCCCTTGGGAAAGTGTTCCAGTGGTTTTAACCCTCACTGTTAAACATTGACTTCCCTGGTGCATGATCAAGCCCCCAGAGTGGAGTATACTCTTCTTGTTATACCATGGTCATCAAGATTATAATTTAACAAAACGCTTTTGTAAATGACCTTGAACAATTGCTGAATAGCATCTCTAGGGAAGAAAAGACTGCACTGGTGCTCACAACCATCGCAGAATGATGGTATTGTAAAGGAAACCCATTTTAAATAGGATAGGAAAACAAAAAGGGTTTGGCTGCTGTTCCTGTGGATACCTTATGTGTTTTAGGCTGCAAACATTTGGCTCTAATGTCATCTAATTAATGTAACTCTAATCAGTGAACCAAATTTATATTCTGTTTCCCTATCCAAACTGTGCTTTAGAAATTGATAGTGTGAGTTACAGCATGGGGCTAAAAGTTTTCTACAGATTTCTTTACAAAAAATGCAATTGCCATCTCTTTGCCTGGCTCATTCTTCCTAAAAAAAATCCTGGAAAATTCAGAGTGCCCCAAGAGTTTTACTAACACTGTAGAACCACTTA